TATTTTTCAGGAACTTCATTATTTTTGTACATCTCAATTTTATGCACATCTGGGCAAGTTAAAAAAGGCTGCAAATCCCTGGAATCTGTGAAGATGCTGGTTGATTATTGAATCTGCAAGGTGAATTCATAGAAGCTCAAAGTCATTTGAATCCATTTTGCATTTCTCCAGCATTAGAGGACTGTTGGAGATTGAATCCAGCCCTGTCTGTCCATCTAGCCCAGAATTGCATACTCTACAGGATCTAAGGCAGAAAGGGCTTTAATTTGTGTGGATCCTATCTTTCTTCCCGGAAGCTTAAGGGGCCATAGCTTATTCCCCCACGCCATGCATACAACTCTGATGTAACCCAAGGTCATCCAGTGGGCTTCATTAATGAGAAAGGCTTTCAACTGGATCCCCCCAATCCTAGTCTAAGAAGTATTTCAACTGGAAGTGACAGGGACCTTCACATGCAACACACATGCTGTGCTACTGAGCTATGCCTCCTCCTCTGTTAGCCAAGAATAGTTCCTTCAGAGGTCCCTTGGTAAGATCTAAGCACTTTTCACATAGTCAGAAACGATGCAGACAGTGGTGTAGAGGAACCAGTGCTCACAAAAATGCAGGCTGAGCACTCTTTTATTAGCAGGCATGCTGAATTATCTGCCACCTTTTCAGGATTCCCTGTTCATTCTGGGTTTAGCTGCAATCTTCACAGAAGCTGTATATTGTTCCTGAATGTCATGTTAAGGAGACTGGGCTGGCTTGATCTTGAATGGGCAAAGAAGACCTATCCATTTTACAAAAGACCTATCCTGACAGATATCAAAACCCTTAGACCTGGTTGGTTGAGCTGGACCCATATTGCTGCTTCCTGGGAACCTTTATGATAGGCACCTCTAGCTCAGAATTGCCCAGTATGAATCTGCATGCTGGCTCAGTGGGAGAGGCTGGGATTGCACTCTCTTCTCTGTGCTCTCTTTCTGCATGCTAAGCCCACATGCTGTATGACCATGTGAACGGCCCTACAGGGGACCTGCCCTTAGAGAATGACAACTGCTCTAGCAATGGTTTGAGGCAGAGCAATCCCATGGAGTCCTCCAAGTTCAGAAGATAAGCCCAACCTCAGAATTGGGACTCTGCCTATGCTTCCAAGGTTTTAACACTGACCTCAGAGAAGGCGTTTAGAGGGCCTTCCAAAGAATGGAGAGGCAAGAAGACCAGCACCACCAAGATACAATGTACCCTGGTGGTACCTCCTCCTCCTCCTTCCCTCCTGCTCCAAAGTGCTGCAGTTAACTGGCTGAACTTGGCCATCTCATTGCTTTCCAAAGCAGAAGGAACACGGAGGAAACCTCTTGCCCTACATAGGATGCCTGCAATATTCCAAATTTATGTGGTTATGGGCAACCTGTGGCTATTTCCTTAGAGCAGAATCCTGCCATTTACACTTATGAACATCTAAGAAGCACCATGTTCCTGCAAACATACTCTACATTCTGGAAGAGGTTCATAATGACCCACCATTGCAAGTGTTCAAGCAGGCATTAAAGACCTATTGGTTTTGTGCTACATTTTTTTCCCTGGCAAGTTTATGATGCTGTTATATGATATTTGGTGCTACCTATTTTACCCATTTTAGTGATATTGTTGAGTCAGATGCTGACATCTCTTGTTATTGTTTTGCTGCTATTTTTGTTATCTATGTTGTAGTTCTTTTTACACTACTTTTGCTTTTTGTTTTGGCTGTTTAGAGATGATAATGCTTTGAAAAATTGCATTTTTAAATCTTTATACAGTGGATACTATCCTGGCCCCAAAGGACCTACCCTGCCTGCCATTCTGCTACTGAGCCTGGCTTAAGTGGTTGGTATTAGTACACAAAGCCCTATACAACACAGGATTAGGTTACCTCAAGGAAGGTCTCTTCCTGTACCAGTCTCCAACCTTCCAGGACACAATGAACTTCAAGGAAGGCTCTGTTTTGTGCGGCACAATCCATGGATTTACATTTTACAGTGACACAAAATCGGCCTCCTTTGTGGTAGCACCCACCCTGTGGAATGATCTCCTCTCTGAAGTATGCCAGACCTCAGTATTGGCAAGTTTCAGAAGTTTCTTGAAAATATATCTGTCTGCCTTAACTTTCCCCCAATCGTCAGTTACCTTCATACCAAGCCTTCACAGCAGTCACCCCCAAACTGTGGCCCACCCTGCCCAGAAAGTCTCTGTTATCTGTCAGCACGCAAAGAGTATTTTCTTCAATCAGGCCTTTGGGGTGCAAGCAAACCTGTTGACCACTACCTTTATTCTGTTATTCTTGTGTTTTAACTATATTTCAATGCATTGCTTTATTATTCTTATTCTTATTTCATCCATGATTCTAAGTAAACTGGAGTGCCATTTTGTGCAGGGTACAAACTCCCTGTCTTGATACTATTGTGTGGATAAGTTGTTGCATGCACTACAATAATTCTGGATTGTTGTAAAGTACTTTGGCTGTATAGAAATGCAATAAACAACAATAATAATTTTTGCTGATTTTTATCCTGTGTTTCTGTTCCTATGAGAAATGGTGCATAAATATAAAGGGGACTCATAAATAATCCAGTGAGCCCTAGATGGCATCTCTGATGTTGGACTCCATCGCTGACAACCAGGTGGTGCTCTGTGGTCAGTGCAGCCAGCAAGGACAAAACAAGTGTCGGTTGTGGCTCCAGGACTGCCAGAGTGACCTTGGAAAGAGGGCTTAGGGGGCATTTGGGGGTTAGGATGAGGAGGGGTGGGTGTGGGCACCAGAAAGATACAAGGTAAACTGATGCTGCCTCACCCTCCATCCCTTCCTCTCTTCACTGCCGCAGTTGTCTTTAATCAGCTGACTATTTGCTTTGCAAGGTGGGGGGAGCACAGAGATCTTTGATTTTGCTCTCCTCCCCTTGTCATAGCGTGCCCCTAATCCTCACCCTGAATAAAGACAGTCCATACACTGAGAGAAGTGGGCAAGCAGAACACAAAGCTAACTTCAGAGCTAGAAAGAATGCTGTAATTTTGTGTTTGTCATTGGCAATTGCTGGATCACTGGGATGGCAAACTGTGCTACGGAATGAGTCTGTGTATTCCATGATTCCTTTCCAGGCACAAGGCCAGGTTCCAGCCATTCCTCCTACAGCATCCCAGGGCTTGTGGCACTCAACAATTCTGATTTGAGGAAATGGAAGCTGCAATCCTATACTTGCGTTTCAGGCAGGATGGAATGAAAGGAAGCTGCCTATTAGATACCCTGGGGGCAGGCAATTGAGGAATTTATCGTTAACTAAGGATGAAGGTGAAATAATTTGGTTCCCATTTTAATAAGGCCTAAACTGCATTTCCCAAGCTAGTATGCAATTATCCTTCGATTGCTCCTCTTCTCCAAAGTTTGCTATATGGCTCTCTCTTCAAAACATCATACAAAGTGCTTCCATTGAGGAAAACAGTATTATTTATTTATTTATTTATTTAACACTTTTTATATGTCTTGTAGCCACATGGCTCTCTAGACAGTTTACATAATAAAAACCCTACAACATAAAACATCATAAATAACACAGTTAAAAACAATTTAGACAGTTAAAAGCAGAATGTCAGTAATAAATAGCATGTGTATTTTGGGGGAAAAGATACACTAAGGCATATATTAGGGGAAAATGCTTCTAAAAATATGCCCTCTAGCAAAAAAGGCACACAGAGAGCCATACTAGGAAAGTGTGAGAAATCTGATGGGGAGAATTGAATGGATTCTCATAATTTAACTTCCCACATTTCAATTTATTAGCTCTACCCTGCTGCTGACTCACCATAGTGTGAGCCAAGCCATTATGTGACTCTCTACCTGTAAGATGGCTGTCATTTGAGCATTTTCTTTAAACACTAAGTGTATTTGTGTAAACCATACTATTTGTGCCATTTCTGCAAATTATAATAATTTCTGCGAATAAATAAGTAAATAAAATTAGAAGACAGTAACTATGCAGTTCTTATGAAAACTGTCCTAGAGTTATGTCATGTCTGACTTAACATTCGTGCAAACTGCATGGCAAGTGCCTACACTTAACCAAATTGCACAAACTGTGTAATTTGTGCAAATTTCCATAGCATTTTAAAATAAAATATGACCTATCCATAACTGCTGTACCAGTTACTGTGTACACATAAATGTACACAAACTTATCCATTGATTTATTTTTTTTGGTGGGGGGGGGTGAAGAAAGAAAGGAAAACAAGCTTGCATTTGGTGAAAAACGTGTAGAAATACTAAGTGTATTTGTGTAAACCATACTATTTGTGCCATTTCTGCAAATTATAATAATTTCTGCAAATAAATAAGTAAATAAAATTAGAAGACAGAAACTATGCAGTTCTTATGAAAACTGTCCTAGAGTTATGTCATGTCTGACTTAACATTCGTGCAAACTGCATGGCAAGTGCCTACACTTAACCAAATTGCACAAACTGTGTAATTTGTGCAAATTTCCATAGCATTTTAAAATAAAATATGACCTATCCATAACTGCTGTACCAGTTACTGTGTACACATAAATGTACACAAACTTATCCATTGATTTATTTTTTTTGGTGGGGGGGGTGAAGAAAGAAAGGAAAACAAGCTTGCATTTGGTGAAAAACGTGTAGAAATCAGAACAGTCAGGTTCATCTGTTCCTAACAAACACCAGAACTTCCAGTTTCATCCAGAAATGTATTGGTATCCACCCAGCTGTTCTAAAGTGGACATAATGTGCTCAGACAACCATGCCCCTCCAAGCCCCATGCGGAAGGCTGCTGCATTCTCCACTAATTAAAGCTTCTGGAGACTCAGAAGAGGAGAGGCAGTTGCATTTTATTCACCCAGTCTGGCTGTAATGAACATGTGTCACAACCTGTACATCCTGTTTTGGTTGCACACCCCATTATGTCCCTGATCCACCCCTTGCCTTGCATTGCACATTTCCAAGTGCTTATTGGTAGGGAGTTTGCTTACCGTCCGTTCGGAGGGTCAGAGGCGTCGGTGGGCTGAGGACTCTGGCGTTCGTCACTGTGTTCTTCACCAGGCAGATGTAGCTCCCTACATCTGAAGGCTGCACTTTGGATATGTACAGGTTGCCTGTTTCCTGTGAGATGAAGCGCCGGCTGTCTTCTGCCACAAAGGAGGGGAACTCGTTAAATACCCAGCTATAGATGATCTCTGGAAAATAAAAATGCAGCATGCGTTTGTTTTGTCTTTGTTTTTGTTTTTTTTAATGAATAACCAGCTCAGTAAATCTGGGAATGAAATTGCCCAAAGTCAGTGATGTTTAAGAAATCACAGTCTTCTATTAAAAGTTAGCTTGAGAAGCTTTGCACAAACATGCCTCTGCTTACTCAAGTCAAGAGAGCAAGTGAGAAATGTTTATAAATGAGAATATCCTAGCATTTCTAGTGTTCATCTTATGGGGCAAGACAGATCTCTTACAAAAATGGTATCATCTCATATAGATATATATTTGTTCTTAGGAAAGTTTGGGAAATGCTCTTTTTAAAAATTCCCGCAGATAGGAAGCTTCTTTGAAGTGCATCAGAATATTGGTCATATATTCAGGGGAGATCAATCCTATGGTCCCTAGATATTTTCTGGGTTTTGGGTCCAGGGAATAGTAAAGGAGCAGTTGTTCATGCTTTACTGCAACCTCTCTTGAGTAAACCCACTCTGGATCCAACAGTATTTGACAAGGGATATCATCCAGTTTAAATGTCCCTTTCTCAGGTAGAGTACTTGAAAGCGTTCTGGCCCAGCAACTGCTGGTGCTTGGGGACAATACTAACATTTTAGACCCATTCCAGTCAGGGTTTTAACCTGGCTACTGGACCAAATTTGCCTTGGCCACCCTGATGGATCAGGAGAGGGTCAGGAGAGTTACTGATCAGTGGAACTGATCCCGTGCAGTTGTCATTCATTTGGAGGACAGGGCGCGCGCCAGTGGTGCAAAGCTCAGGGAACCAAGATTTAGGGTGGATGCCAGGAAGCTCCTCCTGATGGTTAGGACCCCGAGGGTATGGAACGAGCTTCCATGGGAGGTGGTTGAAGCCCCATCGGTGAGGGAGTTCAAGGATAGGTTAGACATGCACATGGTAGGCATGTCATGAGTGGGGTCGGCTGGAGCCAGGGGTCAGATTAGATGGCCTGGGAGGCCCCTTCTGACTCATTCTGTTTCTGTGTTTCTACTTCCCTCCTTGCCCAGTTTTTAGTATGGCAATGTCAACCATTTTCCCCTGTATTGGAAGCATGCATAGCAAGGCATGCAAAAAGGACTGAGATGAGATAGATCTTGATATAAGGGCTGCTGTTATCATGAAGGCAGTCATAATTTACAGGCAGAAGCAGTGCTTTTCTTCTTTGCAATCATTAGTGCCAAGGGGCATCTGAAGAGCTCTCTTCCAGATTTTCCAGGCACATCCCTTTTCCTTTCCAAGAGTGCTCTGCATTTTTATATGGGAAGAGTTGTTAAGGAAGCAAAGACAGAGGGATAGAAACTGCTACAGCAGGGGAGTCCTCCTTCTGCCAGAGCCGTCTTAGAAGACAGAGCTCCATCTCAATTTTCATGTTCCATCTTCTCTACTTCCATTATCTCATCTTCTCCTCCCACTCTCCACCCCCACCCCTCGGCTCTTCTAAGCTGCTGAACTTTTGACACTCAACATTAGCTCTGAGGCAGCCTTGCTCTGCTGTCGGTTCTCTGACAGTCTTGTCAGGCCTGGCTCTAAATGCAGAAATGTCAAGGTTAGCACAGTAATAGAAAGTCATTGCCACTGCTCCAAGACACATAATGCTTTGCCGGTAGAGTGAGTTCTGGGCTTTCAGCTACTAATTGTTTGAGCTACTGTTTTCAGCCTGAGCAGCAGTAGGAAGTCAGTAATCACAATCCAGCCTGATGGTACATTTATTTCTAAGGGGCTAAAACAGAAAAGAAAAGGCCTCATTGTTGACAGATAGTTAGAAAGTTGGGGGAATTTAAGGTCACAAGGATGGGAAACATCTCCCCAATATTCCTTAAGATCTATTATTTTCATAGCCATTCAATTTTTGGTTAAAGGTAAGGGTGAAATGAGTTTAGACAGAAATTATTCTAAGCCTGTCTGTCTTTGCTACTATCATAGATCTGGAACCTCCCAACACATACACTATGAGCACAGGAAGCAACCAATTTGCTGAAATTAAGAAGCCCTCAGTCTGGTCAGTGCATGGACAGAAATCACCTGGAAAGCCCATATACTCCTCCTTGAGTTCCATGTTGGAAGAAAGGTGGAAACAGAATCATATGGTTAAATAAGAACTAATAATAATACTAATAATCCTCTGAATCAGCGCCGTTCAAAATGTCAAGTTTCCAAGAACCCTTTCGGTTCATTTGCCTGTTGATATTGCTGCAGGCAGCAGAGGATTAACAATCAGTTTGGAAGTAAAGCTGGACAGCCAATGTAGTGTTTTCTGCTTTGTTTTCTTCACACAAGCCAAACCAAAGCTTAACTGATATTACCAGACTTCTAAGTGAGGAAGTTCTGATAAGCTTTTGTTTAAAATGCATATTGTGGGAAACGTGGATAGAGAAGGTATTTCCTCCCTGTCTCATAATGGTAAAACTAGGCATTAGTCAATGGAGCTGAATGGTGTGAGATTCAGGACAGATGAAAAGAAGTCTTCTTCACATAGTGCAGAGAAGAATTAGCTATCACATGGTACAATGGCAGATAGTAACTTAGCTGTCTTCAAAAGGAGATTAGAGAAATCAATGAAGAATAAGGGTATAAATCTATGCAGGCTTTTGCTGGCAATAAGAGTTTGTTGTTACTATGTGCAGTCAGGTGACCCTATGAATGAAGGCCTTCCAAAGTTTCTTTTGTTCCATAGCCCTGCTCAGCTTTTGTAAACTCGAGGCTGTAGCTTCCTCTATCAAACTGAGCTGTCTCATATTTGCTCTTGCTCTCCCCTTCCTCCTCCTCCATTGACTTTTGCTAGCATTATTGTCTTCTTAGTGATTCTTACCTTCTCATGAGGCACCAAAATTAGAACAGCTTCAGTTTCCTCATTTTTTGCTTTTAATACAAGTTCTGATCTGATTTGATCTGGGACCCACTTGCTTCTCTTTCTGTTGGTCCAGGGTATTCACAAAGCTCACCGGGGAGGGGAGATGGGTGTTGTTGGATGTTTTTCGGCAAAGGCACACCTGCATGCTTCCAGGAACCAGGGAGTAACTAGAATGTCTAACCCCTCCCTTTGTTTCCTATAACGTGGATCAGTTCCTTTTCCCTCCTCTTTCTCCTCTTCCCCTCTCTCTCTGCACCCAAGATGCAACAACACATACCTCCTGCATGACAGAAGCAGGTAACCATATCTCATGTTTTTCATCTGCAAAGTTGTGTTACACACCAGCTCTACAGGGTGCTAGTACTTAAATCCATGTGAGTTAGTCCTCTCTAACAATGTTTATGAAAGCACTAATAAAAGTACATTGATTTGGAACTGCTTATAAATTGAACTAGCTTTAGTCTGCATTCCTTGCCTTTAAAACTAAATGCCGCATTGTTACTTTTCTTTGCATGAGACTACTCTGGTGTCAGTCACACAAGACTACGCAGTGCATGGAACCCCCACCCCCAGTGTCTCCCTGCACCCAGACCCCTGTGCATTTTGCCCAAAGATATGAGAAGAGTTCTGTAGGAAAATGCAGCTGGAAGCACGTACAAAGTTTCTGATTACGCTGGGTTCTTGCACACAGGGGTTTTGTAAACATGTTAAACATATCCAGCAGAGCATGCTTACAAGCCATTTCTGATCTTCATACTAATCATGTAATATTTCAGTATGCTTGCAGATGAATTCTTGCACACATCTAAATGGCTGCTAGTCATAATGGTTATATGCTACTTTGTAGAATCAGAGGCAACATGCATATAAATACCAGTTGGAAGATGGCCAGTAATATCATGTGCTGATTTTAGACTTCTCAGAGGCATCTAGGTGACTATTCTGGAGAAGATGATGCTGGACTAGATCAGCTTTTGGCATGATCCAGTGGGACTGTTTTTATATATCTTACTCATGAGTTCCTCAGAGAAGAGTTTGAAAATCACTGGACTAGATTAACTCATATTTAATTATTACTAGGGATACATTATGCATGGTTCTTTCAAACTCCGAGTTAGTAAAAGAAGCACTACTAGGGCCATGGTACCTATCTTATTATAATTCAAAGTGCATCTCAAAATCCATAGAGCACAAATCTAACTCAGGATCAGCATTGGTAGACCACACATGTAAGTGTTCAACATCTTGCACTCGGTTTTCCTTGGGAAACAGGGTATGATATGCCAGCATTTATAACTCTACTCTGTAGATAAGTGAGGTGAGGATGATGAATATGAGACAATATTTACCTGGGAGAGCTCTGCACTGGCCTAAGATGGCTGAATTTGGTTATGGCGAAAGAACACCAAATGTCGTTGCTCTTGTTCTTGTTAATTATCTCTTTAAACTGTGGGATACTTCTGCCTCAAGGACCAAATTAACTTGCCCAGCTTTGCATACCATGTATGTCCACTTAAATACATAAGAAGAGCCATGCAGGATGAGGCCAAGGTGCCATCTCCTCCAGCATTCTGTCCACACAGTGGCCAGCCAGCTTCCTATAGGAAATTCACAGAGTGGACGCATGTACAAAATCACCTGCCCACCCATGTTCCCCAGCAACTCACCCCACTCTGGGGAGAGGGATCAGTGCAGTGCTAGGATAAAAACTGAATCAGGAACTTTCAGGCTCACACTTTTCTGCCACTCATGTACTCAAGTTTTCATAATTATAATCAACATACTTTGCTATGACCCCAACTCTCCTCCCATCAATAAAAATAGAGTGATGTGATTTGCCATAATGCCTTCTCTGGCTGCAGTGAAAGGGAATAACACAAATGCTATAGCAGTGGAGGAACATTTTCAAAGAAAACTTCTTTTTTTAATTGAGGCTCTTGTTCCTCATTCACACGGGAGTAAGGAGTCTCTGATAACTGCTATAGGTTAGAAGCAGCCCGGCTTCTTTGAAATGTAGCCATCACTTGACTTTGCAGTGACTGATGTAAAATCAAAGATACTTAATCAGCTACCCGACAGCACAGCCTTTTAATAATAATTTACCTATTATTGAGAGTGACAGC